GGGCCTGCGGTAGGCTGGCCCGTCCGTGGCCCTGCCGTGCTGCCTGCCCCCGTGAGGGACCGGAGAGGTGCTGCAGCCGCCCGCAGGCGTTTCGAGCCCCTCAGCCGGCCTCGTGAGGCGCGGCATCTGTCCGCCGGCCTTGCGTCGGTTTCCCCAAGGCCCGAGACAGATCGTGTGCTGAAGCTTTTACACTTTGAAAACATGGTAGAAAGTGTACCCGCGTCAGGTCACTGTGCCTTGATAGCTCTTGTTATGTGTGCTGTCGTGGGCAGGCTGAACACTGCTTAAAATTGCTGGGTTTAATCGTATAATGTTGATTGGTAAAACCTGCAATTGCTATGAGGGCTGTACTGAAACAGTATGGTTGCTTAGGACTGCCTGACAGCTATCATATAATCCTGAGCATACTTACTTTGCATAATCCCTGAGCATTGATTTACCTACTCAAATGATTTCATGCTAAATTCAATGACTTTTAAACCTTTTTTGCACAGCACCGTATTTTACTTACAGAAAATATCAAATGCTTGTATGATAACTCTGCCCACAGTACAATTATGTGTTGCAGTTGCCTATCATTACTTTTTTCCTTTAAATTTACTTTTGTTTCTGGCTATTGCTTCTGTGTCTTTTTCCTTTTTATCTCTGGTCCCGTCAAACGTGTCACTTTAGACCTCTTTTTTTCAGAATTTGGACCCAGCTCCACCATAGACCTTTTCCAGGATTGTTTCTGTCATTTGTCTGGCTTCTTTGTCTAAAGCAGTGGTTGAGCATTGTATCTTTTTGTTCTTTATTGCTGGCTGCCTCTTTCAAATTTGAGTACATGCTTAAAACCTGGCTTCTTGGTAGCCTTTTGACTGGCATCTTCTGTTCTCTTTATTTTTGTTTGCCTTCTTTAAATGAATCACTGAAGATGATTAATGAAAAAAAAGTACTTATCTCTGTTGTTGCTTCAGTTTTGGAGATCCTTTCCCTGGAAGACCCTCTCTTTCTTTCTTCAATTTGCTATTGAACTAGATGATCCAGAAATAGAATTCAAATTATCAACTTCACGTTATTCACAGTTCATAACCTGATAGTTCACACGTATGTTCTTTTATGTGAACTAAAAATCTATTTCTGCATCAACTTGTATAGGTTACCCTGAGTTCATATAACTTGAGCTATACCTTATAGTGAAGAGGAACTGGCTGTTTTGGGGTTTTTTTATTATTATAACAATTTCTCTGTAGTTAAGGAAGACTATTGCACTGTATTTATTTTGCAGGTCTGTCAGTGTGGATTTGTCTTTGACTAGGTCTCTTTCTTGCAAAACATCATAGAGAATTTTTTTTTCTGTTAAGACACAAATCTGCCAAAAGCCTTTCCCTGTAAGCTCTCGATTTGTCCCATTTCTGTCTCAAAACCTCATTATAGTCTATTACATCCTGCCTGTGGTCATCATTGCTGTCTACTAATGATGCTGTTTCAGACTGTTCTTATGTGTTTTTTCAGCACATGTTTGTGTTTGAGCTTTTGCCCAGTGTGTTAATGCTAGGGAAGCTGTGTGTCAAGAAAGCCAAGTTAAAGCAGCTAAAGTATCGCACATTAAATTCCTTCCTGAAGCCCAGTTTTCCTTTTAGGCACCCTTGCATTTGAAAATGGTAAGCAGCTGATGTGTGGATGACACTGGTTATTACATTAGTCACAAATGTAATCACCATTGGTTTTTTTGTCACTTTGTTATAAACTGTATGCTTTGGTAGATTGTGTGCTTGAGGCTGGGGCTTTTTTGTCCTGTATGCATACACAAAAATCAAAATCTCATTATATGCTAATTCCTTCCAGCACAGTTTTCCTTTAGCACTGTCGCTTAAATCTTGGTCCAGTGCTGTTGCTTATCTCTTTAAAATATGTGCAAAAACAAAAGCTAATTTAGAATTGATTTAAAATTTGAAAAAATTATTGGGGATTTGCTTGCTCACTGAGATGTGTTGTTACTGCTGGGTACAGCCATGGGTATAGACCTTGCTTATTTCTTCAAGAAATCTACCTGATACTCCATTTCATGCTATTCATCTTGGCACTGGTGCTGATTGTCATGAAGCCCTGCATCTGTCTGCTTTCTGTTTTATATTGGTGGGCCACAGGGGATGGGGCTAGTAGTAGCAGCAAGGAGTTAGGGTCTACTCCTTTTTCCTGCCACATTTCTGCTTTTGCGTGGAAAAAGTTGCTGAATTAGAGTACTGAATTACTGAGGATTTTACAGATACACCCAGGCTGATTTTATACAATGACTCTTAATATAGAGGGGGAGTTGGGACTCATCTGCCTCTTGCTTTTTATGCTTCAATATCGGATAGGTGTTCTATCATCATGTTCCTTTTAGGAATTACAGAGTTAAAGCTTGAAAGATAGTCACCGGGTATCTGTTGCTCATGGTGTTATAGAAATAGGAGTATCATCAGCTTCATGTGACCGCTCAATTTATTTATTTTTTTTTTAACTTCTTACTCATTAAGAGACACTTCAATCCTGACTTACTATGCTAGTGTTGAGACTGTATTGCAAAGGATGTTTCTTAGGTATGCTTTAATCAGTGTCAGTTTGATAACATTTCAATGATAATTTATAAAGCTACTTTATGCGGCTGAATTGTGGCTGACGTCTGCACTAGTTTGCAAGAAACTCACTTGGCAGGTATGGATTTCCATGATATATGGTGTTTGTATTATGAGCATGTGTACTTTGAAATGTATTTCTTAATTAGGATGTAATGTCACTGTGTGTGCATTCTCAGTAAATCTTACCTGTAAGTTAGTTTTTGTTGTTGCTGCCTTTGTGCTTTGACTAGAGGCAGAGAACAGCAGACTGTCACCCCTTACAGGAAGTCTAAATAATCTGAATCTGGGAGTTTCTCTGTCACAACTAAAGCAGGTTTTGTCCTAGCTAGTTACTTGTCTGTTGGATCTTTCCGATTATCTGGATTCACCTTTACAGTGTGTTTCACTGATAGAGCAGGTTAGAGCAAATGAGCTGCTGAAACCTGCCCTACCTTAGGAAATGCTTCTGACCAAGGTTTAAAGCTGAGTAGCTGCCTGAACTACCTGAATGTTGTCTTCTGTACTGACAGCTGGAGCAATCAGTTCTTTGTTCCACCTGATGAGCTGGTGTCCACAAGATGACATCTGGGGCCTCTGTCTTAAAACTTCAGGCTATTTTAATCGTCTCTTCTAGTAAGACTCGGAGCTTTGCAGCCTTACAAGTATTCTCAGTAAATACAGTGTGGCTGGCTTGAAATATATTGATACTGGTTGAGTTCTTTTCTGAAAGATTTCCAAAGAACATTTTTTTTTTTTCCCCACCTGCGGTACCTTGAAGAGTGCAAGTCCTGCATATCACAAAAGTATGTCCGCTTCTGTCCAGCATCGGATGTTGTCTAAATCTTGCTTCTTGCTTAATCTGCTGTGCATCTTTTGTGCATTGTATTTTGTCATGGCACAGAACTGAATATGCTTTGAGTATTATTTAACATAGTCTGTTCTACAGCTATCACAAGTTAGTGTATGATACATCCTTTTATGAGCTCTTCAAGTAGTGGTGTAAACACATTAATTACTGTATTTTGCAATGCCTGGGGTGGCTCTACCACACAGACTATTAGCTTCCCAAACCCACTGGGTGTCTGTCTTTACAATTCCCTTGTATTTCAGTAGCCTACAACTTTCATAAATGAGTGATGATTCTGGCTTCCAGTTGATGTTAGCAAATCTGAAGTGATCTAGCTGTCTGTGTTGAAAGCTTTGAAAATTAAAGTCTGCTTCTTGATTTCCTATTTTACACGGTTATTCCCTGTGCTAATTCTCTAGAGCATTAGCTTTCTGCAGAGGGGTGAGAAATTATTCTTTACACCTGGAGAATTGCTTATTAGCTAATTAAAATGGCAATAAGTTTGACCAATATGACAGTGTTTTGTGATCTATAAAGGATATTTGGATTTGTTTTTTTCTTTATTTCATGTGCTCCCAGTGCCTTTTCACTTTTACCAACATTTTAGGCATGGTTCCTTGATTTCATGGGAGGCATGAATAGTGTTTGGGGCGACATACTCTTGCACTTTTTTTTGGTTTATGTGCAAGGCAAGAATGTTCCGCAAATAATGCTTTCTTTATTGCCCACAGTGTGAATCCGTGGGAAAAAAAAAAAAATAATTTGAACCACAGTTGAAACATAATCCTTTCTATTGCAGAAAAATGTGGATGTGCGGAAGTCTTTAAAAAATAATCGGGAGGACTAGTTAGTTACTTGGCAGAATTTATACAGCATTTGCTAATTGAAAATTTCTGTTTCAATAGAGAAAAGCATACAGAAAGGCTTACAGGTTGGTTAAAAACCTGGAAGAAAATTTATATACACATTTGTTTATAATCCTTGCAAAAGTGCTATCAGCAGTGGTCAAGAAGAAGAAAATTGTCTGCTTTACACTTCTCAGAGAAGTGTTATTTGTTAAGATCCTACTGAGTGGAGGATGGAGGGAAGACTTTCTTGTTCACAAGTTGATATATCGTGACATGCTTGGAATTATATTAAGTTTCACAAGATGCGGCTTTGGACGCTTTCAGATTGTTTTTATCTTCTTTTCATAATTGTGCTCTGGTTCTGAGTTGTGTGCTCTGTGGTACCTCATCAGTGACGCTGCTGCGGGTCCTCATATGCTTTAAGCATCGGAAAAGGGAATACTGTTGTTCATGAGGAGCAGTCCCATTTGTTTGTTTCTGTCCTCCTGTGCCATCTATTGTTTGTAATGGCTTAAGCATGTAGCTTCATGGCAAAGCAGATTGAGGAACTGATCCTACTTAGAACAATCTTTCTTTGAAGTGTATTTCAACATATACCCTCCTGTTGAATCTGTCACTTTCATTGCCTTTGAGAAGGCAAAAAGTGTGAGACAATGTAAGAAAGTGACTTTAAATTGTTCTTTCAGCTGCAGTTCTTGTAAAAACTGCTTTTATATATCTTTTCAGTGCGAAAGCTAAATTCAAATAATGATGTCTTGAGTGAAATGAGTAAGAATTGGCTGCTGGATGACAAACTGTTTCTGTTAAGGCACCTGCTTTGGTCCATACCTGAGAGAGTGGGGTGTTTGTAAGTCTTTCAGATGGTTTTAAAGGGAAGAGAGAATTTGTGGAAACAAACAAAAGCTTGAAAAGAAACGTGTGGTGCTAAATGAGCTTGACACTGAGGTGCTTCAGCAAATACGGGAATTGAAGCAGGACCCTGCTGGGAGCGACTGCAGAATGGGACCTGTGGTGTTCCACTGGGAGATTGCTGGTCTCCGCTTTGTATTCTAAACCGTGTTGTTGCCATGAGTAGTAAGATTCACTGTGTATCTTGCTCGAGTGACTCAGTCTAATGAACACAATTTGTTTCAATGTAGGATAAAAGGTGTCTTTATATTTTTTTTTTTTATTGTGTATGAAGATGGTGCATCATATTGCTCCTAAGTTCTGCTGCTGAAGTAACTTGCAACTGCGTTTATAAACCACCCTTCCTTTCCTTCCCTTTGTCTCCTTATTAATACTTTCTCTGTTCTGAAATAGGTCGTAGGTTTCTTCTTGTTAAGCATCTAAACACATCTGATACATGTGTGTAAATCCTATGACCTTCTGTGTTTGTGTAGTATCATCACATATTGACCGTGCTTTGATAACCTGAATTTCCAGGTAATACACAATGAAATGCTTATTGGGGCTTTTTGTTTTGCATGAGAAAGTTGGGCATTTCCTGTATTTATAAATAAAATGTTTTTTCCTTTTTTGACTCTATATGGACACCTGACCATATGAGTCTTACAATCGAAGTGTGTTTAATTATAGAAACTGTAACAGGAAAAAAACCCAAGCCTTGTGGTGGAGATTGTATACTTGGTATAAAATATGTTTTCTTTGTTGGAACTGAACATGAAAGAAAAACTTATATGCAGCTAACATTTTTAAGAAGCTTGTTCTCTACCAGTTCCCTGTAATAAAAAATATTCGGTATAAATTTAGCAAAGAGAATCTAAATTTGTCAGAACAGCTTTTCTATTTTTCATGACTTGGGGAACTTTTTTTTAATCTGAAAACCTACTTTGTTTTAAAGAAGCCTCAATTCCTTTGGGACTCGCTTCCGAAAATAAGTTTCATTGAATGTAACAGAAATACAGTAAAGGGGGGGAGAGATACAATGTTTCTAAAATATTTAGCTTAAAATTTTAGAGAAACATAGTAGGCTTATCTTTCTATTACTTAGTAGGCTTATCTATCTGTAATTCAATTTTTTCCAGATGCTGTATAATCATCAGCTGTTCACTTGTGGCTACGTTTTAGCTTTTGTAACCAGGTCATTTTGAACTATACAGCTCTCGTGACACAAGTGTCACTTATAGGTATGGCTCGAACACCAGTCATTTAAGATTGGCTATCTTTATTGACAGTCACAAGGTTGTTTTATCTACGAGTGAATTTTAGTGGGAGTCGAACATAATACTGGATTCCAGTCAAAGAAGGGTAGGCTTATAATGTCTATTTTTCTATTAAATTTTTGTGACTTTTCTGCAAAAGTCAGTGAAACTGGACTACATTGAGTATTTCTAAGGATTGCTGTTGATTCCATTTTGGAGTAAGGACTCAGATATAACTGTTTATTAATCTTAATTCTGTTTTCTTCTTGGGCAGCCATTCAGATTGTAAAACTGTTGGGGTCTCTTCTACAGTTGGGATCTTTCTTTGAATAAATTTATACATTTGAAAGAAAATTCTGATGTGTTTGCCCTGTGTTTCATAACCAGTGACTTTTCTGTTTGGACACAGTGAAATTAATTGTGGCAAAATTGAAGTTGTCTGCCAACATTTATAGAACTATATCTTTTTAATAACAAAACAATTTTTTAGTGCAGGTATCAGCAAAATGTATAGACTATTATTGTCATGCAATTTAGAAGTTGTGCTTCAGTATATCCTATTTTCTGTAATCTTTATTTAAAAAACCAAAACCTAACAACACTAAATTCTGCATGTCTGATTTTTTTTTTTTCTCCATGTGGCATTATTTAAAGGTAAACACTGCTCTCTTAATGTAGGTTGTGAGTGCTGCATGTGTGCTTTTCAGAGCAGTAGTGTGAGGAAGCTGGCAGTGGAATGGCAGGACGGCCTCATCCTTATGATAGTAACTCCAGTGACCCAGAGAATTGGGATCGGAAATTGCATAATAGACCTCGTAAACTTTGTAAACATTCAAGGTAGGTGCTGTGTACCATCTATTGCATCTCAAAAACTACAATAAAAGTCCATTCTAAAGGCTACTGTATCTGGTTGTGGCAAGTCCTGTCATAAGTTTTCTAGTTCTTAAAAGGAATGCTTCTTAATTCTTTTACTTTTCTAACAACTGATTTGTCAGCTTCCCTAATCTGTGCTTAGATGTTTTGTCATGTGTGGGGTTTTAGTCTTTTTTTTTTTTTAAAAAAAAAAAACCTAAATGCTCTGTGTACATATCAAGATACCAGTTGAGTGACTAAATACATTGAATTTTTCGGGGGTGCTTATTAGGAGTTGCTTCCCGTTCATCACTTTTTAGTTGTTGGTATGCTCTGTTAAGTAGCACGCTTAAAATATGTGCAACTTGTTCCCGGTGATAACTAATAGTTGCTTGCATGCAAGTATCACTGTCTATAGCACTTTCTTTGTAAAGCTGTGTGTCAGAGCTTGCTTTCGCCTACATCCCTCACTGTAAGAATGTGGTTTTTTAAATGCTTCTTGATTTGAAGACATTATGAAGTTAATTAGTGTTTTTCCAGCATATAGTGTTCAAAAATGAACTAAGCAAAGCAGTTAGTCACCTAGCAAATGTATGTGAAGAAGCGTGTTGCTGGAAATATAGATCAGCATCCAAATAAGTGTGTATCTTCCAAGTACTTTGCCCTTTTAGAAGTGTTAAATATAACTAAAACATCTCTGTTAGCTAGCTAAAGTTGTTAGTGATTTAAGCTTTCCCACTTGCAAGATGATAGGGAAAG